ATTGACTACCACCACCGTAACCTTTCCATTCCCATCATGCATTTACTTTACTCATCAAACCTGGTCACTTCATACTTCTTTTCAACCTTTTTTTCTTCTTAATTCACATTTCCCAACCTTTTCATTCCCATGCATTTATTTTACTCATCAAACCTGGTCACTTCACACTTCTTTTCAACCTTTTTTTTTTTAATTCACACTTCCCAGTTTTCTATCGGTGAACTCCTCCATCACCGGCTGAATCAAAGTTCCCTCCGGAAGACGTGATCAAAGCCAAGAGGCCACCCCTGCTTGCTCCGCACCGTCTCACCGCCGCACCGACAAATGACCACCGCAAACACCCAGCACCATGAAACCCAAACAGACATGGAGGAAACGAACGAACGAATATGAAAGAGAAATAACGGATCTGAGAGTTGGAGGGGTGGGAACGGATCTTGGAGGAGATGGGAACGGATGTGAGAGTGAGAGTTGGAGGAGCTCTGGAAAGAGAGAAAAGAGAAAGTGAGATTTGCAAGAGAGGTGGGACTCCGAAGGACAAATGGATGAGAGAATATAAATAGAAATCAGAGTTTCAAAAAGGTAAATAAATAAAGTTAAAAAATAAAAAAGGTTAATTTTGTAATTAAAAAAAAATATAAAAAGTTGGGGAGGTGAAGGAAGAAAAGGTGGTGGTGGAGGGAACAATACCCTTGTTTTATTACTAAGAATATTCCCTTCTCACTTCCTTGGGTATTACTACGTTCAATCCACCTTAGCCCTCCCCATCCTCCTCAGGACTTCTCACCTCATACCACTCTCTTTTAGTGGAACTCCCACTTTCTCTCTCATATAAACAACAAATGAAATGGTAGTAATGGATACGACACAAATATTCTCTACTTCGATCCACAATAAAAGATACTGGTTTGCTTTGTTATTTATTGAATATTTATGTGTATTTTAAAACTTGTATATATAATAAATACTTGTAGATATTTTAAAAAATATATTTTATAAATTTTAAATTAAAATTAAAAATATGTAAAATATAATTTAAATTTTTAAATTTAATAAATATAAATTAATTTTAATTTTAAATCAGTTTAATTTAATAAAATATAAATTTAATCTTAATTTTAATTTTTTATATATATTTATTATTATGATATATATATATATATATATATATATATATATATATATTATATCAATATTAAAATACTCATTATTTATTATTATTATATGTATATATTTATTATTTACGGATATCTTTTATCATCCCTAAAATGAATTTTTGGTGAGCAAATGATAGACATCAAAGTGCTGGTGGTAAGCAAATGAAGACATTTTTGATAGAAAACCTCACTTAGTTTTTTTAAAATATAATTTTCTCATCCAAAGACCTTTTTATTCATTCTATGACAGATAAAAACTCACTTGTTTTAAAAAAATAGTGATAAATAAGAATATTTATTTTTTTATTCTTTAATTTCATATGGGAACTTTTTCCATGGAAGCTATAATATAATCTCATATGACTTTTCATTCGATTAACGGGTTGAGTTCCTTTACTGAAAGAACTCTAATATGTCTTGAAGATTGAATAGATTTTTTAATGGTTCTTCTTAATCCAAGTTACGTTGTTCACTCATCTTACTTCTTATCTAAATCGTTTACTGTCAAATACATTATGACGCTCAAGTCAATAATATGACTGATCGTTTAACACAACAAGTGATGCATATTATGTGCATGATGGTCTGAAGTCATACTTAGGACCTTTCTTTATAGTAGTTGGGATGAACTTTTACCTTCTTTTGACCTTTACCTTTTGTTAGTCTAATGAAAATCCAATCATATCTTAATCTGCATTAAGAGCTTAATGGGTCATTACCACTGCTATTCTCACCATATTGTGTCTGATCAGTCACGTTGTTCAACCATACTAGGCAGAGTAGAGGAACTCGACACAAAGGAGCTCGACACAGAGGAGCTCGACCTTGAAGGAGGACGACTTGGATGGACCGTTTGGGTGGATGACCTAGTGGTCTAGGTGGTCAATCTGGGTGGTCGGTCTGAGTAGATGGGAGGGTGGTGCTAAATCATACGATATACATGGATGGATGGTGTGGGTGGATGACCTGGTGGACTATCAGGATGGTCTACTTTGGTGGGCAGTAGGGTGGTGCTAGAAACTTGAGTGGTCTGGTGGACCTTGGTTGACGACAGGGTGGGGCCATATCCTACTCCAATCCGATTTGTCAAATCTTGCCTAATTACTCGACACACTTTATCATTCTTACGATTAAACTTTAAAATCGTTAAGAGAATTTCATATCAAACTTATAGGCTATAAATATGTTATATAAAACTAAATTGATGGTTTTAACTGTTATAGAATTCAATTCATTGCCTTAGGTAACAACTAGAAAATGGAATTTATTATGATGAGAGACATCTATACTTGTTTTCCAAATGGCAATTGGTAAAACTTCCTCCTCATTACACACCTATGACAATTTGAGAATTGTTATTTTTCTTCCTTAAGTTGATATGGTTATTATTGTCTTTGATTAGGCATCATCAAGAAACTTAATCAAAAGGTACAAATCACATTTCATAGATCTTAGTCTTGAGGTACATTTCTCTCTCAAGCTAATTTGGTGTATACTACTTGTAAAGTTAATGTTAAATATTACTACTATCCTTTATTTTATCAATAACTTGTGGATAGTCTTAATTACTTAATGGGTTAAATATGTTTTTCCTTCCTTAAGTATCACACGATTTTGGTTTTAGTCCCTACTCGAAACTTTGATGGTTTTTAGTCCTTATAGTTTTGAAACTCTTACTATTAGTCCTTAAAATTGGATGACGTTAACTTTCAGTAGATGTGGCTAACGGCCAACCCACGTGTGATGCCACCTTTCCTGACTACTTTTAATTGACGTGGCAGTAAAGGTGTGGTGGTCGTCGGCCTGGTGGGTGGTCAGCCAAAATGTCTAGTGGTCGGTCGGCCTGGTGGGTATTGCGCAAAGACCAAACGGTGTTTGGTAAAGACCGAACGATTATTGTGACGTGTGGAGTGCAATATATGAAAGACCGAACGGTATTGGGAAAAGACCGAACGGTGTTGATCAAAGACCGAACGGTGTTCCGCAAAGACCGAACGGTGTTCCGCAAAGACTGAGCGTTGTTTGTCAAAGACCGAACGATTATGGTGACGGGTGGAGTGCAATGTATGAAAGACCGAACGATATTGGGCAAAGACCGAACGATTATGGTGACGGGTGGAGTGCAATATATGAAAGACCGAACGATATTGGGTAAAGACCGAACGATAATGGTGACGGGTGGAGTACAATACATGAAAGACCGAACGGTGTTGGGAAAAGGCCGAAGGGTTATGGGCAAAGACCACCATGCTGACCACCAGACTAAGTGGCCGACCACCCACCAGGCCGATCGACCACCACACATTTACTGCCACGTCAATTAAAAGTAGTCAGGTGACATCACACGTGGGCTGGCCGTTAGCCACGTCAAACAAAAGTTAAGGACTAATAGTAAGAGTTTGAAAACTATGAGGACTAAAAACCATCAAAGTTTTGAGTAGAAACTAAAACTAAAATCGTGTGATACTTAAGAGACGGAAAACATATTTAACCATTGTTTAATCAATATTCGACTTGACATATCTTTACTATTCAACAAGTGAGTGTGTTTACGTATTGTCGTCGCTATATACACGTGACAACCATCCATCATATAATTTGCTACTTTAAAAAATCTGTCAACAAGGTTTATTCTTTTTCATTGGAACAAGTCTTACATTCATTATTTATAGTAATATTGATTGAGTTGAATGTCTTGATATTCCATGATCCGTCATTGGTTGGTGTATAGTTCTTAGCTCCTCGTTGATCCCGGGGAAAAATAAGAAACATATACAAATCTATAGAGCATCTATTGAATCAAAATATTATCATGTCTGCTACTTATTTTGAAATAATAACATGATTTTTTTGCCTGAAATTGAATTTCCTCAATTAGATCGAATGCTTCTTCATGTTGCAATATAAGTTTTGTTCATATTGTTGCAATTTTAGTATAACATTAGCAAACGAAACATAGATGTAAATTTAAGTTGCGAATATTTTCAACTAAAGTTATTTCTAGTTTGCGTCATTACTTTCTAATTAACAAATTAACGCCCCCAAATAGCACCAATTTGAGAGGGGATGTAGGTCATAAATTATTTTCGTCTCCCTATGTATACTACTATGTTTTCCTAAGAAGATACGACAAATAGTTGATTAAATTGCTATCTTAGTTGTATAAAATAGTCTTCGTAAAATAGGCTAGACAAACTAGACAATAAAATGTATGATTTATTAATAATAATTACACGTAAAGACTTGTATCATTATTTCTATAAAAAAAATTAAAAATATTAAATCATTTTCACTGGCTGAGTTGGTGATGCTTTAATTGAAGCCACCAAAAAGATATCCTGACCAAACTTAACCTGAAAGTTCTAATGTTAGCCACAAATATATTGATTAAAGGCACAAACAAAAGAATACTCCGTCTAATACTCAGTTGAAGATTCTCATTCATGCATGACCTACATAAATATTTCCTTGTAGAGGATTAATCAATGATTCCTCAACAAAGTTCGGACCAAATATATCTTTATAGAGAAAGTAATATGGTTTCTCCCAAGACCAATACTTAAATATCTTATCTAAACTATGTCTACTCTACATTGAATTTGTCTTCTTTTTTTCAAATCGAAAACACAGTTTCAATCCATATCCAATTAAATGGTGAATTTAAAATAATAAAAATGACTTAAATATGAATTCAAAATATTAAAATGATTTGACTTCATTTGGTTATAAATTAATTTTAATTATTTGGAGCCGTACCTTTTAGCACAGCATTTTTCGTAATGAATTTAAATAACACTGTAAAATGAGCTGCCTTTATATTCATTCTTACAGATTGTTCACGCAATGAATATTACACTAGAGATATTGACAACAGCACAAACCTTTCATGACAATTATAATTATATATAGTTAGTCTCAACTAGGAATTGCAAATGAAGCTTGAGAGAGCTACAAAAAAAAGTATATATACATTGAAAATGATTTGTCAAATCTCTCGCCTCTATGAAAAAATAGACCTGGATATTTGGAATGAATAAAAAACTAGCTACAAGTTTAATCTAATAACTTACAACACAAAGATGCATTACCAATTACTAGTACACTCAAGAAACACATGCGTTCTACATTACAGGCCAACCCACTTGACCCATCGAAAAATCCGACCAATTCTGAAAGGCAACTCATAGTCATTAGCAACAGCAGGTTCTCTTCTAGCAATCTCAGCTTCGGACCAAACATATACCCCACGTTCCATCTTACTGCCAGGTACGGTATTATCCAGAATAACAGCCACAAGAAAGGCTATCACCATGTGTAGCGAAAAAAGCGTGTTCAACACATAGTTCAACTGCAAAAGGAGTAACAGTAATTTTTAACCAGCATTCAAGTGTTAAAATAAATTAATACCAATTCCAGAGACATAATGAATTGAATACTTTTTAGCTTAACAGTTTCACCACATAATGAATACTTGGTAAAAACTATGGAGTAACAGGCAATTTGACCTTACAATAAGAAACCAAATACATATTCCCTATTAAGCATGGGTAGTTTCAATGTCCATTCACAGTATCATGGAAATAAACATGTAATGAGAGTTTCATGAGCCACACACCCATCTAGAGAGATGAAAGTGGCCTTTGGATTACTTTCTATCTTTTCTGAAAATTTGACATAAATTCAAGCACCATATACATGCCAGTAAAACATAAAAGACACAGGCATACCCCTCCATATTTGCTGTGGATAGGACCGTGAGAAGCCACAATGTAGGGCTGAAAGTAATTTGGTACAGACAGGTTGGAATTTGGAGAGATGCCGTATTGTTGAAAGTAAGCAGGTATTGAAAGCGAGAAAAACAGTGATAGCCCAACTATGATGATATTGCGAGAGCTTCCAGCCTCACTGTAGCGTAGATTTGACAAGCCTAATGCAGTGAGCATTGCCCACATAAAGCAGAGGAGACCCGCAACCATAACTTCAGGTATTGAAGCAATGAATCCTCCAACCTTACCTGTTGTGCAGCATAAGCAAAATTAAACACATAATTTGTAAAAGAAGTTGTTTCACAGATGAGAGCATAAAACTACAAAAACTATATAAAATGGGCATAAGGCAGCAAAAAGAAGACTGAATAAATCACACATCCTAACTGTATTATGACTCATTTAGTCACAAAAATGGGTACAGACATCCGAGAAATCAACAACTTATTTATTGTTTCAATGTAAGTTGATGGACTTTGTGATGAACAGTGGTTAAATGGCATTGGTAACACTGGTTATCAATAACCACTCTTATATGCCAAAAATATGGATAGGAGAACAGAGAAAGTATCTCAGAGAAGCTTCAAAACCACTTTTTCGGTTAGAATTGAGATTTTATGCAATGCCAGTAGCTTCAAAGCACTACATGTTCAACAGACAAATTGAAAACAAGAAAGGTTCTTTCACTTGGAAGATACAAATCTCTCTAGATCATTATTCAAAAAGGGATAACTAGCATCCAGTTAAATAAAGCCCCATTGAAGCATTTAGCTGCAACGAAATATGAAGCAAGAATACCTCAGAAGTAGCTGGGTCAGTCAAATATGTATCAAATCCAACACAAATTTTAATATAATTGAGCATTTTCGAGTTATTTACATATCTCACGATGATGCTAAAATAATATTGCTATCATAAAATATTATGGTAGTTAGTAATTTGGAAATATGCAACTTAGGAAAAGCATTTGTAAATGCAGGGAAAACTGAATATTAAAGGTTGCAAAATTATCTAATCATATGTATGTAAACAATCTAAGCAATGTTGAGATTCTCTAACCTTTCATTTAGCACAGTTAACTTAAAAACCAGCTCCTCTGAGTGCATTATTTAGCACAGTTAAACACATAAAGCTGTTAGTGCCCTTAGGCATACCTTAAATGGCAACACAAAATCATGTAAGAAAATGAATCTCATGATTCATATTTCAAATGTATGAAATTAATACTGATGCGTATTACTGAAATGCTGAACAGATTCATGAAAAAGTTGACGAAAATTATCTACAGAGCTTGAGCAAGAAAATCTTTTCTTTCCAAAGATTGTAAGGGATGAGATCATGAAATCAATAAAAACAGATTCAGATATTATAGAATCAAACTCTAAGTTCAAATTTTTAGAAAACATACCATATGCATCAAAGTATGAGTTCAAGAGAGAATAAAAGGAAAGAATATACAAAGACTTTTGTACTGGTTCATTCTTAACTCTAGGGAGCTATATCCAGTTTTTTAATCAGCTAAGTATGATTCTATTAAATTTTCAAACTTTGAAAACACCTCACATGCAAACTTAGAAAAGCTAACCAAGAATGTTTCTTGAACACTACCAGAACACTTTCAAACCCACTTGTGAAACTCTACTGTAAGCTATACACCTCAACACAACCCGTCTTAAGGATTTAGAAACCCACATTGCAAAAGAAAAAGTTCATAACAACATCATTTGGAAAAAAGTCTTGCCAAAAAACAATTGGCAATCTTGCATAGGATGTCAAACTTCTTTGCTCTTTATCCACAAATAATTCTTGATGATCTTCTGCAAAGAAGCTAGACCATTGTAGAAGAACTTGATTTCTCTCACAAAAACCTATTTGATCATTTGTTGGAATGATTTGATATATAGAAAAAAGAGTTTTCAAACCTTTATATTTGCTGCCCTTTGAGTTTTGAAGAAAAGACTTACACATTTTAATGGATTAAAATGATTTTAAGAGTGTCTTTTAAGACCAATAAATTACTAGCTTTAAGATAGTTTGACCAACATAAAAGTCTACTGTGAGTACCTCAAAATAACTTATTGAAGAGTTTCTAGCTTATAACTTACAACCTACTCCAGCTGGCTTCTAGTTTGCAATTTGTTTAATTTTCTTCCATTACTACTCCTTAGACAACTAATTATTGCACTATTTTTAGTATTTGATGGCTTGCTTTTTAATTTTTTTATCTAGTTCAAATTAAAAAAGATTTATTATAAATTGAAGTAACTAATGTTTTATTTCATGATGCAATGTGAAAATTAGAGATTGAAAATTGTTAAAAAAATCATGTTACAGGAGTTTAAATAGAGAAGGATGAAATTTTAAATTTAATTAATACTCATCACATCAACTTAAAAAAAAATTACTTTTTCAAATAAAAAAGTCTATACAACTTTAAAAAAAAGTACTAAAAAGATTAATAATAATTTAGTTAGTTGAAAAATGTAAATTATAATTACATAACATTATATTCTTGTTAAAAAACATAAATTTCATTTATATAATAAAACTTATGTAGTTATATCCTTTATTTTACATTTACCAACTAGTTTATCATCTAGTTTACCAAGCACTTGTAATCCAATAAGCTAGTTTCGAAACTTTTAGGTATGAGCTTAGCAACTAGTTTTGCCAAACATACTCTAAATAGATTAAATCAATTAAATCATATAACCTTCACATTTACATTCTCCATTTTATTATGTTAAATCCAATCATATAATCTCTTTGATAATAACTTTAATGGATTAAACTAGAAATTAACAAAAGAACATTTAAAATCTTTCTAAAGTGTATAAAACAAAAAATAAAAGGAAAAACACATCACCACTATATCTAAAAAGTCAAATACAAGGTTTGAATCTACAACACTTCTAAGAGGTATTGCATCACTTGCCAACAAACTCTTCATATGTGATAATGACAAACTTTCCTTTATCATTATATACTTTGGGTTGATCAAGTCATCAGGTTGTGTAAAACAATAAAATATTTTTCTCCCTTTCTAATATCATCAAATCTAATTATATGTTAATGAAAAAGAATGAAGCATTTAAAAAAATCACAAACATTTTCATTAATGAATGAGATTATAAAACATGACATTAAATAAATAAACTCACATTACATTGGAACCAAGATGACAAACTTTCCTTTATCATTATATACTTTGTGTCGATGAAGTCTTCAGGTTTTGTAAAGCAATAAAATATTTTTCTCCCTTTAGATATCACCAAATATAATTATATGCTAATGAAAAAGAATGAAGCAATGAAAAAATTACACAACATTGTCATTAATGAATGAGACTACAAAATACAACATTCAATAAATAAACTCATACATTACATTGAAAACTTCGAGAATAGACAAACTCAAATTGCATTGAAACCAAGGAAACATTAGAGCAATACATAGAACACACTTAAAGCATGGAAAACCAATTAACTCTGGTTCTCAAGAATTGTCTGTCTTGCTGAAGGACAATCGAAAACTCAAGAAGAATTAACTATCTTGTGCTGAAGGATAATGGAAAACACAAGAAGATTGCACTATTAGTTTTCAAAATCTTAGGCAGCAAATTGTTGAGATCAAGGAATAAATTGCACAACTTCAATTAGCAAGGAATAATTAGTTTTCCATGCTTTGAGTGAATTCAATGGGTTGCTCTAATGTCTAATCCACTAATGAATATGTTTTGTTTTGTGACAACTTTTTTTAAATGCTTCAATTTTTTCTCCTTCTTACATTTGATGATGATGTTAGAGGGAAGAAAAAGTTTCTCTTTTGTTAGATTTAACAGACTAAAAGACAGAAGGGTAACACGTGGGGGTTGTCTGGTTTAATCCATTAAATCAGCTTGATTAAATAATGAATGTATTAAAATTACTTTAATATATAAACATGCACGAGGCTTTGTTCCTTCAGAAGTCACATAGCATTTTAACATTAAATTCGACAGCCAACAACTATTAAAGGTTTGAAAACTCCCTTTTCTCCACATAAAATCGTTTTCAGATAAAGACCAACGAGATTTTTGAGAGAGAAATCAAGTTCATACACAGTGGTTTAACATCTTTTCAAAAGTATATCAGGAAATTTTTGTGGATCAAGATGAAAGAAGTTCAACATTCCTATGAAAGATTAGTGTTTTGCTTATGAAGGTTTACTCAGATGATATTCTAAACTTTTTTCTTTTGCATGATGGGTTTGTAAATCTTTCAGACAGGGGCTGTGTTAAAGTGTATAACTCATGTTAGATTTTCATAAGTGAATTTGAAAGTGTTCTTTTGGGGATCAAGAAACTTTCGTGGTTAAACTTTCTATCTAAGTTTGCATGTGAAGTGTGTTTATAATATAAACTTTTAAAAATTTGGTGGAATCCTAATCAATTGATTGAAAGACTAGATGGGTTAAAAGTGAACCAGTATACAAATCTCGTTATGTTACTTTCTCTTTACCCCTTGAACTCATAAGTTTGGGGCATATGACATGTTTTCTTAAAAATGTGAAGATTTTTAAACCTGATACAGCAATAGCTGAAAGTGCATATTGCTTTGAAGACCTCGTCGTACCTTACAATCTTATAAAAGAGAAATTCTTCCTTGATCATTGAAACCATTTGACTCAAAGGAAATAATACTCAGTAAATTTCAAACCCAATTGAGTTCAACCCCCTCCCCTCTTGCTGGACCATTTTTCTAACCCAACTCAAATTGATATATTTGGAAACTTTGCACTGGTCAAATTTTGCCCCAAAAGACATATTTCTTTATTCACATAATAGGAAATCATTGATCAAGTGAAAATAGAAGTAGACATTTGTTTGGACAAGAACTTACATAGGATTAGATTAATAATTCAGTTTGGACATCATAATGAACTACGATAAGGCAAATTTTTATTCTACACCCTGTAATTCTTCTGGAAGCTTGATTTCCAGAATGATGTTTACAAACATTATATGTTTCACATAAATAATTGTACTAATTGCTGGAGACCAGAAAAATGAATTTTGAGAATCACTGGGAAACCAAAGAAATTTCATGATAAAGAATAAGTGTACATCGGAAGAAGGTTAGACTAGATCCAAGCACAGAAAAATTACAGAAACTTACCCACAAGAGACAACACTATCAGAAAGCATGCACCCAGTTGAACTGCCCGGCGGCTTCCCATTTTAGTCACAGCAATTGTGTGAACATTTTCAGTTAAAGTTATAGATCCGGTTCCAGTTCCCCACAGACCAGCCAAGACACTAGAAAGACCTTCAACGCCAATTCCTCGACTAAGAACTCCTGTAGTCGGTGGTCTGGATGCAACCAATAACGAAGATGCATGGTATGTGCCAACCTGCAAAGATTAAAATAAATAAATATCAATGACACGGTACAATGATTTCTTATAATCCTGCATACAGAGAAAAATACAAGGAACATATCATTTTACTTGAGATATTACACCGTTGTTCTCAACTAGAGCAACACATATTTTTATTTGATAACCACCTTGCAGCATCAGAATTCTTAAAACTTTATCAATTAAATAGTTATTGTCATTGATGTAGTAAATTCGTAAGTCTTGAGATAGAACCAATGCAATATTACTCACCTTACACTTGGTGTTTACTTGATGTTAATAGATAATAGGCACAAGAAAAAACAGTGATCATATAAATTATAACAAGATGAAAATCATGAATTTTAAGTTTGGATCCCATAATGTGTAATTTCAATAGCAAAAGTTTTTCACCTTTATTGACGAAGTTTTCAGTTAAAAATTAACTTACAATAGTATATGCAAGGTTCATATTTTTCCCTCCAAAGGAGCATTTTTATTAAATGTATATCATAGTAGTAGGTGCAAATCCAAGAAAAAGAATGGTCTTGTAAATACAATACAACCAGAACAAAGTTATGAAGTTGGTAGTAGATACAAATCACAATTTCCCATCAAAGCCTGTACCACGTCAAAGAAAAAGAGAAGCCTTATTGTTAAAGGAAACAAGAGAAGAAAGGGAAAGAAAATACTTTCATAAAAGCTTACTGAAAATACAAAGAATACAAGCCTTATATAGACTGAAAAACAGAGGATAAAAGGTTAAACCTAACCGACTTTATATCTATCATTTACACTTATAAATACAATATTGCTAGAAATGGCTATGAAGATGCTATAAGGGCCCCGAAGATAACTAGGTTTTTTTTTTCTGAAATAGCATATATCAAGTGATCAACATATTCATAGTAAGATAAAATACAGCCCAGGAAGAGAAAGACAAGAAACTCACCGAATCTACTGATGAGATTAAGGAAACCACACACATTACAAGAGCCATTTTCCAATGGAAGACAGGGGTACCCCATTGTAATGGATAAGGAAACCTAAACCATGGAGAGGATAACAGTGCTTGAGATGTATCAACCCGACAACGCCTCATCCTTGAAAAATGTTTTCTGCAATGCTCTGAAACCATATTTGAGGCAGGTATATTTATATCGCACCCTTTGTAGCTGTAAGCTCCGGCTTCAGTCAGCAAGAAAGCAAATGCCCATGTAATTGCCAGTCCCAGAGGAACCTGGCAATTAGGCAAAGAAAACACAAATCATTTGCTACAGCCAGAATTTATTTCAACGACTAAAGAGTTACGTAAGATATTGTAGCAGTCAACTTACTGCATAAATTAGAAATATGCGATGCCCAAGAACAGATATCTTACGAAGATACTGTGGAAATAAAGAAATAACAGATTACAAATTCTAGTCCAGTGCACCAAGCAATACTATACACACTCCAGGATTTTTTAAATAAAGAATAAATGAGTGAATCCATATCAAAAGAAATAACACTCAAGGTCAATTAAACAAACTTACAAGAGAAAAAACAATAGCCACTAATATTTGAACTGCACCGATCTCAATACATGTACCAACTAATGGGAAACCATAACTGTAAAATGAAAGTCCAACAGCAGCAATAGTTGGGGCTACAACTACAGGATTTATCAACCTGTAAGGAAACACATAAAATGAGGCTCATTATCAACTACACTGAACAGAAAGTAAGACCGAAATTTGATGTTTTTATTTCAGTCAACTCAGGCAATGAAGTGACTTAATTTTAAATTGTGACGAAAGGATTGAAAATTTTAAGATGTGACTAAAGGCCAAAGACAGTTTTATATTGCATAAAACAACAACGGGGGGTATAGGTGGGAGGAATCATATTCATAGAAGGTATACGTAAAACTATTAAAAAAAAACATGTTTTGATGGTACAATTATCTCAGCATCTTAATTATGGGAACTGACGGTATCAATACCATAAACCAACAAAAAATACTCAAACTATTCTAAAAGTATATTGCTTATCTAGCAATTTTTGGTTAATATATTCACCAGTTCTATTATGGAAGAGGAGAAATTTTTTAGATCTACATAAATCATCATCTAATGATTGTTAGCATGAGAACACCATTATTAATATTATTATAGACCATATTTAAATTTTATATAACCTTCTGTAGTGTTGAATTTGGCAATTATTTATTATAAGAAATGCTGTCAGGAGTTAGCTCAACTAGTACGATGATTGCGTCAGGGATACAGAAACATTTTTAAAATATGAGGTACAACAGGGTCAGGATATGTTAACGCAAGCCTTGCATATACGTACACAAACACATGTATGTATATACATGTGTGTGTGTGTGTTTCACTGAAATGTCAGTGTAGTGTCTGGTCTAAATTAAATCATATAACTAATAACCAGTCAAAGAAAAAAAAAACTGGTCAAAACTCCTAAAATCATATAACTAATAACCAGTCAAAGAAAAAAAAAACTGGTCAAAACTTCCAAAGATTGATTTATAGTGGGTTATTGAAATTCTTGATATGAGGCCATTTTCATTTTTTTTTTTCATTAAAAGGTGGGGAGAAAAACAAAAGAAAAAAAATGATATTTCCCTTTTTATTTTACACGTAAACCTGCTATTTGTTAATGAACATTGTTGTGTACTTGTGTTTGTTAAAACTTAAATCTAAGTACGACTTTATACTTTTGAATGTTATTAAACTATAGAATGATATTGTCTTTGTATTTTTGGTGTCATAAGTTGTGATATTATATTTTTTTAATACTATTTTACATATTACTTTGTTAATACTGGTTCGATTATGAGTGAACAATTGATCCTTGAACTAGTGTCATGAGCAATTCAATGAATGGCTCAGTTTTAAAAACATTCATACTGTCATAAATATTCATGTATGAAGTCCATATGTAATATGGTCAATAATCTTGGATCTTCTATGTGTTTTTAACCAATTAAATATAATTAGGAGTGACAAACTTGATGAATCAGATAAAACTAAATTGTTAACTTATTTTTTTATTTATTTAAAAAAAATCTAATTCATTCCTTAACAATTTTCTCATGAATGGATATCCAATTCATCAACAAAAATAATGCTTTATATAATAAACAAATATTTATTTCATCGACAAAAGTAGTTAAAGTGGTTAGTTTTAATTAATATTAATGTCACGATTATAATTTTATTTCAGAAATATTCATAAAATTAAAAATTTTAAGGGGTGATTGATCTAACTACTCATACTCAACTCAATGAATTGTTTTTCAAAATGACTTATGTTATTCATGACCAATAATGCATCTGTTTTCATTAAAAAAAATGGGTGGATATCCCACTGATATAGTTCACAATAAATAGAGTATAAAAAAAATTAACAATTAATGTAATTGAAATTAGACGTATGTTTTTTAAAATATATATTTTTTAAAACAATTTTTTGAATATTTTAAAAAATAGTTTAAGAAAGATTTAAATATGAAAAAAATAGGTAAGTTAATTTTGATTCATTAAGAATTGATTAAATGGTCCATTATATTTTGAAAATAATAGATGAATCATTAGCCATTCATAAAATTAAATGGATCCATCCATTTTTTATTTTCATATTATATATTGTATTGAATGAATTGGATTGATCTGTCACCCCTAAACATAAAAAAAAAAAAAAAAAAAAAAAAAAAAAAAAAAAAAAAAAAAA